AAAGTAATAAATTGGTATTTTATGCCTATAACACACACCTCTGTCTTCTGTCATTATTGAGGTTCAGGAAAGGAAACCTTAAGAGGTCTGATTTTTTGTACATTTTATTGTACAGATATTAATGATTTTCAATCCTATATTTTTTTTAATATAATGGAATGTTTTCTAAAAATAGATTCAATTTAAAACCACTAGATGGCAACACCTACTTGGATCTACAAGGTAAACCACTCACAGTTGTGATGCAGCACTATCCAGCTTATATAGTTTTCCTTGCTAAATGTTTATGAATGTATTTCATATATTTATGTATTAATGGAACAGACCAACATTTAAATTCCCAGAAAATCTTGCTTGGCAGCTTTGGTCACTATTGATTTTTATCATATGGTAATGTGCAGCTTGGACGTTCCACTTCAAACAACTTTTTTTTTTTTTTTTGGTTCCACAGAAAATAGTCATTTATTAAGCTTGAAATGAGGATCCCCCCACCACTTTTCTCTCTTTATTTATTTTTGAAAGTCATTTGGGAAGTGTATATTTATGGATACTTGGATCAGCTGTTGATATTACGGTGTTCACATTTCTTTATTATCCAGTTTGCCTTTTTAAAAGCTGCATTCTTGTATGAATTCTACTTGAGCTTCATTGTGGGCTATCAGTCATTCGTCTGCTCTCTCTTTTTTGTACCCACTCTCTCATTTCCTGTGTCCTGTGCTGTTGTCATGACTACTGTTGCCAAGGAGAGGCAGCCACAAGAGAAAGGAAACCTAAACCAGAGATCTTGTAGCCGTAATATTTAATTCATCACCTCAGACGCTAACGTTTGCATGTTATGGAGCAGAATGAAACAAAGGAACCGGGCAAAATGACACAAAAAACAAAGTCTTTGGAAACAACTTAGTAGTAGTCCCTTTATCAAATAATTATTATAAAATGTAAGTTACAGTATATAGACCGGAAAAAAAAAATTACAACAACACTCTCAATTCATTGTTAATCACCTCGAAATGTAACCTTATATTACTGTAATCGGATCATTTGTACTTTTGTAAAATATCCCTTTACAACTTGACAGCCATGTAAATTCACACTTCTGCCTAAAATGTTGTTACACAGAGTGTTTTTGAGAGGATGTACATTACTGATGTTCTCCATCACAAAAAATGGACTGGCATACTGTTTCAAAGCGTGAGGATTTTGGTGTTAGTCATCACAGTCGCCCTCAGAAATGCCCACAACAGCAAACATCCTCACAAGCCCACTCTTTTAAAGCAATTTCTTTGTCTCGTTAGGGGAATGGCAAACACTCTTTTGTATCGGCCCTTCAAAAGCACTGAACGCTTTGAGGCGTATTGTTGATGGCCCCTAGATTGTCTTTGTGTTAATTGATCCGCTAGCAGACACCACTCTTGCCCTCCCTCCTCTGTCTCACTCCATCTGCCTTTATATCCTGCCATCCGCTGTTTTCCTTTCAGGATGAGAGTGGCTTTGCTCAACAGTGTTTCTAAAGATGGACGAGACTAGCACACTTGAAACACCTGTAAGGGTTATCGGGCTGTCCAATAAGCGATCAGCACTCTGACAGAAACCAACCAACCCATGAAGGTTTTGTTGCAGGGAAGAGGACATTGCTTTTGTCTTTGCCTAAGTGGCCTGAAGCATTTTTTGTGTCTGCTCTCGATACAAGAGTGTCTAACCTAAAGAGCTTAAAAGAGGACAACGTGTTTACTTTTGGCATTTATTCGCACAGGTGTCACATCTGAAGAACCTTTCTTTTTACTTCACACGAAACTGTTGGATAATTTACGAGGGCCTTTGCCATCATTCAGACACCAGTTTAGGTTCTTTTTGACATTTATTGGGTGCTTGGAAGTAATGCATCTTTGACAGCCACTGCATCCACGTCACAGTATCAAATTCAATCGGTGTGACCTGTTTGGGTAAGGCAACACCGGACTGGGTAGCAACAGAGGCACATGTCCCTGCAATAAGAGCAGATCTTTCTTTACCGAGAAGACAAGAAGTCCACCACACATTACAGTGGTGCGAGACCAACTTCTACCCTCCGGATGTAGCCTGTGATGGTGGGACTCTCATTGAAGTTCAATCAATCAATCCCATGTGGGTGAGTTGAGACAAGTGGCAGCAGTTCTTCAATTATTCATCTCTTCAAAGAAAGACCAGGCGAAAGTGAACACAACTGTCTGAGAAACCAAAAGACGGACTAGAACGTGGCTGAACAAAACTTGGTTCCAAGAATTTTGAAAGACAAATCTGAGAGGTCTGGCAAGGATCTTTTTAAGAAGGACTGACCGAGACTTCTGGCGGAGGATTGGGACCAAATAACAGACTAGAACAAAACTTTGCTCAGAGAATTTAAGGACACTCCGAGAAGTCCAGCAAGGAACTTTAAAGGTGGACACGAGGACTGACAAACTTAACAAGACCAGAAGACGGGCTAAAATGCATCTGAACAAAACTTTGCTTCAAGAAATTTGAAAGACAAAACCCTAGCAAGTAACTTTCAAAGAAGGACTGACCGAAACTTCTTGCTGAGGATTGGCAAACGTGCCGACCTCTTTGGGCAAGGAGGGCTGAAGCTATTATCTATAGTTGGAGCACCTGCAAGCGGAAAAGTGTCGTCGAGGTTGTGGCCCGAGGAGGCGTGGTACTCAGAGGGTGGCGAGATGGTGAACACAGGTATGCAGCTGATCAGCTTCACCTGTGCTGTGACAGGTTGGGTGATGGCTATAGCAGTGACTGCACTGCCCCAGTGGAAGGTCACGGCCTTCATAGGCAGCAACATCTTGACCTCCGAAATTGTTTGGCAGGGGATCTGGATGAACTGCATCTACCAGACCACCGGCCATATGCAGTGTAAGACCTACGACTCCATGCTAGCTCTACCACCTGATATCCAGGCGGCACGGGCGCTGATGTGCATTGCTATCTTCTTGGGCTGGTTGTCCTGCACCGTCTCTTGCTGTGGAATGAAGTGTACCACCTGTGCCGGGGACGATCGCCATACCAAGGCTGGCATAGCGCTTTCCGGTGGGGTGCTCTTCATCCTGACGGGCCTGTGCGTCCTAGTGCCGGTTTCCTGGACCGCAAACACTGTGGTGCAGGACTTCTACAACCCCAATGTTCCCCTCCAGCACAAGCGGGAGCTGGGTCAGGCCATTTACCTGGGATGGGCGGCAGCAGTGATTCTTATGATCAGTGGGGCAGTGCTGAGCAGTACCTGCCCGCACATCGAGAGAGGAGGGTACAGACGTGGATACATAGGCCGCAGTTTTGCAAACTCAAGGCCTTCTGCTCCTGATCCACCGAAGCCAATCACAACCAGTGCCCTGCCTCTTAAGGAGTATGTATGATAAAGATAAAAATGAAAGCAAATGCGGGAAGGTGTGGCTAAACAGGGATAATGATTAAAGGTGCACTCAGTGATTTCTGTTTCAATGGACAGATGCATTTTGTGTCATTATCACTCTGATGATCATGTCCATATTTGCCATTTGAAATCCCATTTATCTGCTTTTTCTTTCATTGCTTATACATCGTACACATGTTGGTGCTGTTCACTCCAGCTCCTTCGTTATATTGTCTGTAATATACATTGTATTTATTGTTGTATTGTTTGGTTTGCTTTTGTTTAGATATGTTTTTGTTTATGTATGTAAAGCACCACTAGTGGCACCAAAATGGAATTGCAATCTGCTAGTTTTTTCAGTGGAACATTGGCACAACCAGTGCTGTGAGTTTGGAGTGGAACTATTAGTTTGTCAGTGGTAAACACGAGTATTTGAAAACTGTTTTTTTTTTTTTTAATTTCTGTTTGGTAACACTGGTGGAGCAGAAATTACACATTTGACCTTTTAAAGTATGTAATTTCCGCACCACTAGCAAAAACGGAATTGAAAAAATAATGATTGGCACTAACACTGAAAAACAGATAGATTCACCACAAACACTGTGACACACTTCAGCTTTAACTGAACTGAATTGTAAAACACAGCTGGCCATGTGATCTCAGCTTGTCATAAGTATTATTCATTTCTTCAGGGGGTAAGGATTTTAATGTGGAAAAAATTACTGAGTGCACCTTTAATTAAAGACAGTCTAGTATCTAGAATTTGAAGCATAGTGTATGAGTAGTAATATTTGTAGTAGTATTGCAGTGGGTCTACGATTTTCAGAAACATTTCCTTTCCCTTGCTGCTTGTCACTCTCTACTTATTGGTGTATTTTCTCATAAGAAGGCATTTAGATTAGTTTTGATCATATTTTGACAAGATTTTTGTTTTAGTCCAATAGTATTAACTGTGGGCTAACTGAACTCTTAGGCCCATTTTGCAGTGTCTTTTTCCTTTCTTTTTTTGTAAATGGTAATCTATCTTGTGTTTTGTAGACAACTGACAGCACACCACTGCTGTCCTTAGAAACAGTACACCCACTTTTAGTATGTTGGATTGCTGTGTTCATTGTGTTTTCTCTATATTTATTTATTAAAATTATGTGAACTTGAACCATTTGAGGAAAAAATAAAAACGAAGTATGATGTGACATTGTTACAACCCCTGGCTCGAAGGGAAGCAACAAAAGGAAGGACACATGAAATCATAAGGCTCAATAGGAAAAGGCTTTATTAAACTCAAAAGTAAATCACTATAATAGAACAAAACACAACAGAAAAGATAATATTTCTGAAAACGTCAGCATCATCAGTGTGTAAAGCGGGGTGCCTGGCTGCTAGTGTAACGTGCTGTTGTAGCCATGGAAAAGTGCTCAAACCAATACAAATCAAACCAAACACAACCCAATATCCCCAAGTCCAAGACTCCTTTGTCTCTAATATCTGTTTTTAAAGGAGCGTCTGAACCACAGTGGCAGGTGTAGGCAATGGACTGCAGATTGAGGTGAGTCGTAGGGGGAGCTACAAATCACCCAAATTGTAATGGGAACCGTCACAGACATTCAATGACAACAGTGCAGTTGTTTTATCAATATAAAAAAAGCATAAATTAAATAACCACATTTATTAAAACAGAACACTGCTCTTCCAATGATGCTGATATTCAGTCTTTGACAAGTTAATGCCCACAGGAAAACAAAATTAATCCAGGAGTCTTGAGTTCCACCATTACTATACCGCTGTCCTTTTTTAAGGATCCTTCATTGCCAGACTGAGAACAACAGCCAACACAGGATGTGGAAATGACTTGATAAAATATCTGACATTCATTCAGTCTCCACGAAGTGCAGATTGAGGTGAGTCGTAGGCGGAGCTACAAATCACCCAAATTGTAACGGGAACCGTCACAGACATTCAATGACAACAGTGCAGTTGTTTTATCAATATAAAAAAAGCATAAATTAAATAACCACATTTATTAAAACAGAACACTGCTCTTCCAATGATGCTGATATTCAGTCTTTGACAAGTTAATGCCCACAGGAAAACAAAATTAATCCAGGAGTCTTGAGTTCCACCATTACTATACCGCTGTCCTTTTTTAAGGATCCTTCATTGCCAGACTGAGAACAACAGCCAACACAGGATGTGGAAATGACTTGATAAAATATCTGACATTCATTCAGTCTCCACGAAGAATGAAACTTGACACAATGCATCTAAAACACAAAAACATGAATTAACACAAAATATATATTTAGAGACCAAATTCTCTAATTTTACTGTTGTATATAATTGTATACATTACATGTACATACATTCTAATTTATGATTCTTATAAAATGTCACACAACAAACAAAATCTATAATTAATAGATGCAGCCAAACTACTACACCGTATCAAATTCTGTTTACAGCTGGTATCAACATATTAAATATGTTTTTTTTATGGCCACTTGTGATCAGAAGGGAGCATCACAAAATGTTCTGGACCGCTGTTTACACGTGTTTTTAGATCCAACCACTTGTAATCAGATCACCCAAGACAGACATTAATACCAGATGAAAATGGGGCCAAAGAGTGCAACCTTATCTACTCTAGGAAAAGGGGAAATATCTGCAATTCTCTCCTCTCCACTAGCTGAATGTAGAGATTCCCATCTCTTTGGTGCCGTTTCCATTAACGTAAGGTCACTGGGTGTCAGCGTCTGCAGGAGGTTCCTTCTCTGCACTAATCTGACCAGATGAATTTAAGATTCATTGCAAAATAATGCATGTACCTAACACAGAGAGAGATGAAGTATCACATTGAAGGCAACAGTGGTCATGATGAGGAATGACTTAAAGGATACTGTAGGTGGTAATAGCGATCTGCATCTTGAAGCCACTCTAACATATCTGAGATGGAGGGACAGATGTCTGATCTGGAGACACAACCAGCAATGTCAAGATTGTCTGTGTTCTTCTCATAGAACTGGAAAACAGCAGACACCTGTAGACTGATGGCATCCCGCACCCTCTGAAGAGCATCCCTGGAAATATGAAGAAGAAACCAAATGAAGCATTGTTTTTATGTGCAATAAAATGACAATCAAACAGGACTTACATTTTCTCAGCTAGTTTTCCCAGAACTGAATCCACAGCCAGTGACAGTTTGTAATGAAGGCGTTCTTGTAAACTAGGGATATTGGCAAGAGGTGTGTTTGCAATCTGAACGTTTTTCAGTGCCTTCAACTGCACTGCAAGGGGTCCAAGAGAGCTCATGAGAGGTTTACATTCAGCTAGTTCACTGTCCCAAATGCTTTTATTCGCTTTTAGCGTCTCAAAGCATTTTTTGAGTTGTTGGTGCAATGATAATAAAACAGCACTGGACATTAACAAAAAAAAAATCATTTTCAGTGACAGAACTCGAGAAACACTGTGAACGACGTTCTTTTACAGAGGATTCATATAACTAACCAATATATTAAATATATCTATTATATATAGATACTCCGCAAATATTTAAATGTATCTGATAAACTACAAATCACATATGTGAGAGCGAATAAAATCGTTCTGTTTCCATCGTAAAAGTACATGTGATAACTGCGATGCGCTCCTTCCGGGAACATGCATCATCCACCAATCCGCTTGTTTCTTTCTTTAGCCGTGACAGTAAAACACTCAACCATTGGCCAGACTCTTCGTTTAGGAGAGGCGATATCTTATTGGTCAGAGCACGAAGCATGTTTACAAAGCGACGGTCAAAGCTGCATTCTGATTGGCTTACTGACGTAGTAGCGTTAAATTTGAAAAGGCTCTTCCTAACTGCCGATGTATGCTACAGTGAGAGACACATTTTCGACATAGACCGGGTTATTAGAGTAAGAAAAATATAAATGCTTTTTTTTAAATTAACTAGATATGTACCTAGTACTAATATATATGAGCGGAATCGCCATGGGGTTGAAGAAATGTATCGTCTTTGTTTTTCAGGTTCATCATGGCACCGAGGAAACGCACACAGAATGCTAAAAACAAGAAGAATTCCAAAACACCGAAACTGGAAGCTTTTCTGCTAGATTTCGACGATGAAGGTAAGATTTGTCGCTAGTGTCTCAATACTAAGTATTTGTGTCCACGCTTTAAAAACGTTACTCTTTGTAGTTCATACCGTTGTTGAAAGACTGAAGGAGAAGTCGAACAATCTTCTGAAAGATGCAGACAACCTTTACAAGACCGCTCTGATAAAGCTTCCCATGGCAGTGAGGAAAATGAACTGGATCGAGTTCTGCAGTAAGGATTTTCCTCTTTGTTGTACATGTGATCATATGTCAGTTGCTCGGTTTTTGACCAATAGTCCATGTAGCCTATGTTAATATGGGGTAAAATAGCATAGGAAGGAATAAATATCGCACATACTTTGGTATTGTCTCACGGTTCTTATTTTAAACTTCAGATATAGAGAAGCCAAAGTCACCAGTGGATGATTCAAAGGTACTTGCATTAAACATGTTTGTTTATCCATATGTTTTACATGTTGTAAACGAATCAGTATTGTTAAATCAATCACATTTGGTCTTGATTTAAAGTGTTCTCTCTCTGATCAGGTGAGGGAGGAAGCTGCTCAAGTGGAGCTTGCTATTGCTGAGAATCATGTGATTCTCAAGTTTGCTGCCAAAGGTACATTTTGCATCCTCTGTCAGCTTGTAAAACCTTCTTACTTGTATTTTCAAAAGATGACCTTCCAACTTTCATCTCATTTACAGAAGCCAAGAATGGTGCAAACTCAGAAGATGAAAACGTGGCACCCCTTAAGTCTGCTGTCAAAAAGGTAGGTCTACTTAGTAGAGCATTCAAATCATGTTGAAGTTAATGTATTGACAAAGATGAGCACATGTGATTGCCGTGTTGTCACTATCTAGCAGGAGAAAAACTCTTTGAGCCTCAAGAAATAAATGTAAAAATATGCATATAATGTTCAAATGTTTATATTCCATCTAAAATCTGGATTATCATTTTTAAAACAGCCAAGTAGGAAATGTTGAAGGCAGTCTAGTACACGTTTACTTTGACTTTTACATTTATGCATTTGGTGGAAGCTTTTATCCAAAGCAACTCGCATTGCATTTGCGGTATACATTGAATCAGTTCATGCATTTTCCATGCATAACCTTTGTTGCTGCTAGTGCCATATTCTACTGTTTGAGCCACAGTTATTTATGTTAAAGAAAATGGTTGGTAATACTAGTCTTTGAAGGGTCCTTGAGAAAATCTGGCCCCTGTTTATGTGTGTACAGGAGCCTGACTCCCTTTCTCTCCTTAATGTCTAATGTAGAAGAAAGCATCAAAGAAGGCACCTTCTACCTCAAAGAAGGCCAGAGCTCTCTCCATCAGCAAACAGAGCAACACCATCCAAAGGTAAAGAAAATGTACAATCAGCTAATATTAAACACACCGATTTTGTCCTAATAGTGTTCCCTCACAGAATCCCAGTGGTTTGTTCTGGGAGTCTGAATCCATATTTGCTTTTTGTACATAGGTCTACAAGAAAGCCTCTGATCACCCCTGCTAGAAGTTTACTTGAGTCTTCAATCATTGGCGCCACTCCGCTTATCACACCACGCTTTGACCCAAGGTAAATACTTACACATGAGATGACATTGTGGCTTTGATTGTGATTTGCTTGAATATTCATGACTTTTTAATATATTTGACTTTCACAAATGACACATTTACTAAAAAAAAAAAAAAAAAAAAAAAAAAAAAATTTTCAATCTACAAAATCCCATTTCATTATATCAAACTAAACCTGGAATTACCTAGTCCCCATCTGTGAAATGCAAACACAATTTTTGCATCCCTAAGGTCCAGATAATTTAAAAATGTTTTCCAAGCTGTGTAAAAACTAGTCTGATTGATGAAATTTTTCTAAGGGCTATTTGTGTGAATGTCTTTTTTTTTTGTCGTCAGATTGCCCAAGACTCCAGCACTGAGACTTGCACGTCACAGGGAGAAGGTGTACAGCATGTCTGTTAACGGCTCACCTATTGTTGGCTGTGGAGAGGACATTGTCATTAGTGTCCCCCTCGCAAACGGAGAGGTGGGTGATTTGATACCGCTACTAATGAAGTTAAACACATTGTGTATGTATGCATACATGACATGTTTTCTTTATCATTTCAGTGCATTCAGCTGCTGGCCAGTGAGATGGACTCTGTGGATCTGAGTCAGCTGGATGAGAAGGCCCTACGCAGTATCAGAAACCTGCAGGTATGTGTTGCTGTCACTGATCTATAATAGAGGACATTATATAATATAGATCAGTGGTTGCTGTTAATTTTTAATGGAACTTCTAAACCGTTTTTATAGTGATACCACCTTCTAAATCGGAAGAAATTAAAATAACGTTTTTTGTTTTTCCCCCAATGCAGAATCGTCTCACAACTCTGTGTGGAACAAAGTGAACGCCCCGTCTCCAGTTTTGTACAGCACACTGCATTGTAATATCACTTCAGACTGTCAGCATTGTTTACTCTTTACCGTTTTATTTTTGTATTGTAACGTGTGGATTTTGCTTTTAATATGTGCTATAGTTTCATTCCCATTAACTTTTAAAAGGTAAATGTAAATAAGATTAGTTGTGGTCATAATCTGTGTTGTACTGCCTTTTGTAAATACGACTCTTAAATACCATGATTCCACTATGCTTCCGCTGTCTCTTGCTTTTCCTTGTCCTATGTTTCTTTTGAAGGTTTTTTTTATTTGGTGAATATTTAATCAAGTATATGGTAACCAGGAGGTGTCAAGCTCTTAAAAAAAAAGAAAAAAGAAAAATAAATAAAAACCAACAAAAGCTGTATGATGGCAAAGAAAAAAAAAGATTGTTAATAGTGCTGGGTAGTAACTGATTACATGTAATCTGTATTACATAATCAAATTCCAAAAATGTTGTTCTTGTAATTAAGAGTATATTATAATTTAAAATGCTTCTAATCAGGTTATAGTACATTTTTTTTTTATGGATTACATGATTACATATTCTTATTCATACAGTG